GGGGGGATGAGGACGATGATGATGATGAGGAGGAGGAGGAGGTAGGAGGAGGAAGATGAGGAGGCAGGGGAGGAGGCATGGGAAGAGGCAGGGGTGGGAGAAGGCTGAGGAGGAGGAGGAGCAGCCGGAGCCGGAGGAGGAGGAGGAGCCTGAGGAGGAGGAGGATGACGATGAAGAGGAGGAGGAGGATGAGGAGGAGGAGGAGGAGGAGGAGGTGGAGGAGGCAATGGAAGAGGAGGAGGAGGTAGAGGAGGAGGAGGAGGAGGAAGAGAAGGAGGAGGAGTTAGTGATGCTGCTGCTGATACTGCTGCTGCTGATGATGATGCTGCTGATGATGATGCTGCTGACGATGATGGTGCTGCTGTTGCTGCCGCTAATGATGATAACGATGATGATGATGTTGATGATGGTGATGCTGATGATGCTGTTCATGATGATGGTGGTGGAAGTGGTGGTGTTGATGCTGCTGATGATGATACTGCTGCTGCTGCTGCTGCTGCTTGTAAATCTGTTGATGATGCTGACGACAAAGATATTGATGACGATGATGACGATGGTGGTGATGATTATGCGGCTGATGATGATGGTGATGATGATGTTGATGCTGATGACTATGGTATGATGAGATTGATACTGAGGCTGATGATGCTGCTGCTGATGATGACTCCGATCCTGATCATGACATTCTGATGATGCTGATGATGGCGATTATGATTATGATGATGATGATCGTTGTGATGATGATGATGACGATGATGATGACGACGATGATGATGATGATGATGATGATGATGATGATGATGATGATGATGATGATGATGATGATGATGATGATAGTGATGATGATGATGATGGTGGTGGTGGTGGTGGTGATGATGATGATGATGATGATGATGATGATGATGATGATGATGATGATGATGATGATGATGATGATGATGATGATTGGTGCGCGCCTCTGGGTGCCCTGGTAATTCACAAGGGGCTGTGTGCTCGCAGAACCCCCCCACCCCCTTCAAAGGGTGGGTGAGTTTTTCGGACCCCCCCTTTCGCTGGAAGGCCCTTTGAGCCGGACAGAGGCCGGGGAGAGGGCCTCTCCCGCAAGGGGGAGTAGTGAGTGGTGAGTAGGGAGTCACTAGTAGTCTGTAGTGAGTGGTGAGTAGTGAGTAGTGAGTACGGAGTAGGGAGTAGCGCGTCGTGATGAATGGTTGGTGAGTAGCGAGTAGTGAACATTGAGTAGTGAACAGTGAGTGCTGCGTAGGATGTTGGGAGTCGGGAGTGGGGAGTAGCGAGTAGTGAGTATTGAGTATTGAGTAGGGCGCAGTGAGTAGTGAGTGGTCAGTATTTGGTGGTGAGTAGTGGCATGTGAGTAGTGAGTATTGAGTAGTGAGTAGTGAGTACTGGGCAGAGAAAGGTGGGTAATGGAGTAGTGGGTCGAGGGTAGTTAGTGGCTACGGGGTAGTGAATAGTGCGTAGTGAGACGCGAGTAGTGAGTAGTGAGTAGTGAGTAGTGGGTAGTGGCTAGTGAGTAGTGGGTAGTGGGTAGTGAATAGTTATTAGTTTGTAGAGAGTAGAGAGTAGAATGTAGTGAGTAGTGAGTAGTGAGTCGTGAGTAGTGGGTGGTGAGTAGTTCGTGGCGACTAGTGAGTAGTGAGTAGTTCGCAGTGAATATTGAATAGTGAGTAGTGAGTAAGTAGTGCGTAGCGCGTAGTGAGTAGTGAGTCGTGAGTAGTAAGTCGTGCCCAGTTTTCCGTGAGCTGTGAGTAGTGATTATGTTGCGTAGTGAGTATTGAGTACGGAGTTGGGAGTAGCGAGTAGTGAGTAGTGAGTAGTGAGTAGGGCGTAGTGAGCAGTGAGTGGTCAGTATTTGGTGGTGAGTAGTGGGTAGTGAGTAGTGGGTATTGAATAGTGAGTAGTGAGTACTGGGTAGAGACCGGCTGGTAATGAGTAGTGGGTAGAGTGGTAGTGGCTAGTGCTAGTGGGTAGTGACTATAAAGAAGAGATTAGTGAGTAGTGAATGGTGAGCAGTTAGTAGTTCGTAGTGGGTAGTGAGTATTGGATGGTGAGTACAGAGTAGTGAGTAATGAGTAGTGAGCAGTGAGGAGGAGGAGGCGAAGGAGCAGGAAGAGGAGGAGCAGGAGGAAGAGGGGGAAAAGGAGGAGGAGGAGGAAAAGGAGGTGGAGTAGGAGAAGGCTTAGGTGGAGGAGGAGGAGGAGGATGAGGAGGAGGAGGAATAATAGGTGCAGTTGGAGAAGGAGGAGGCGGAGGAGGAGGAAAAGGAGGAGGAGGAGGAGGAGGAGAAGGAGGAGGGGGAGGAGGAGGAGGAGGGAATGGAGGAGGAGGAGGAGGAGGAGGAGGACGAGGATGAGGATGTGTCGTGGGGGAAACGGGCGGGTACGGGCCGGAGGGACGCGAGGTCGCCTGCCCTCTCGCCTTCGCGCGGCCCCTTGCCCAGGAGGAGGACGAAAACAGGGAGGACGAGACCTCTCCCGGCCGGAAGGCCGCCTTGGGGATCGGCACGAGGATGGTGATGATGATGAGGATGAGAATGCTGAGGAGGACGAGGAAGAAGACGAGGAGGAGGACCAGTGCAAACGCAAGAGTCATCAACGATGTTGCACTATACCCTTCCTCTAAGCGAGTTTCTTCTTCTCAGGTCCTCAAAAACTTGTTTTCACTGCTGGATATGCCCCGTTGGAAGACAACCGTCTGAAAATGTAAACCGTGCCCAAACACCATTCCTGGGACTTCGGCGCCGCGAATCAACGTTACCTGTCCCTCCTGACGATCCCGAATCTTGCCAGAACGCCATTGCTGTGACTTCAACACCACGAACCAACGTAGCTGTTACGCCCTGGCCGTCCAACATCGTACCGCAATGCAATTGCTGGGACGTCGGGATGACGTCCGAAAATTCTCATGGTTGACGTCGTCATGCACATGAACCTTTGAAACTGCCGTAGCATCTTACTGCGACAGTGTGTGGCGCCAGAGCGAGAGTCGTATATTCAAAAGGAGCCGCCCTCCATCCGTGGAGCTCCTGTTCACGTTCGAGACGAATGTGCGCGGCGCTAGGCGAGAGCCACATTAAAAAACCGCCCGCCCTGCACCCCTGAATCTGCTGCAAATTCTAAGCGTAAGGATCATACGTGGCGAGGAAGATTCTTGCGAAACGCCTGGCCAACCCTGCCGACACGCCTCGGGGTGCGGCAAGGGGGGGAGTTCTCAGTGAGGAAAATGGATGAACGAGGAGGAGGCGGAGAAGGAGGAGGAACGCCGCCCCCGGGATCACCATGATGATGGTGGTGGAGGAGGAGCCAGGAGGAGGAGGAGGAGGAGGAGGAGGAGGAGGAGGAGGAGGCTTCACTTCCGCTGATGGAAGTGTCCCGTTGGAAAACAATCGTGTGGAAATCCAGAAGCGCGCGGAAACACCATCCTCAGGACTTCGACGTACCGAGTCAACCTGACTATTGCGTATTGGCGGTCCTGAAACCGTCAGAACACCATTCCTGGGACTTCAACACCGCGAATCAACGTAAGTGTTGTGCCCTGACAATCTTGCTTCGTTCAAAAACACAATTTCCAGAAGGTGCCAGCACTCTGGTAGCTTTTGCAACGGATGTGCGTGGCGTTTAGGCGACAACCACATTTTGAAAAGGAGTCGCCCTCAATCCGTGAAGCCCTGGTAGAATGAATGTGCGCGGCCACTATCGGCGAGAGTCACATTTTGAACACGACCCGACCTCATCCCGTGAAACTTTTGCGATTTTTTAGGACGAGTGCTCGCGGCGCTAAGGCGATAGCCATGTGTTGAAAACGACCTGCTCTCAACCAGTGAAACTTGTGCAGGTTTTTAAGTCGACTGTGCGAGGCGCTAAGGCGATAGCCATATTTTGAAAACCACGTGCCCTCAATCAGTGAATATATGTCATTTTTAAAGACCAGTGTGCGCGGCGCTATGGCGAGAGCTACATTTTGGAAGCGACCCGTCCTCAATGTGTGAAACCATTGCCAGCGTTTAAGCGCCCGGGTCATACTTGGTGAGGAAGTCTCAGGCGAAACAGCTGGCCCGCCCTTCCGACCAGCCTCGGGGTGCGACAGGGAGGAGTTGTTCACAAGGAAAAGGAATGAAGGAGGGGATTGAATCGCCCCCCCCCCGCACGGTGCGGCGACCATCCTCCGAGGACGTCTCGGGCGAGTTGGGCCTGCGAGGTCTCGAGACCGTGGGGTGACGGACCGTGCGCCTTGTGGGAATTCCGAGGTCCTTGCGCGGTCTGTCAACGCCCTGTTTCGGGACCCCCAATTTGAATTCAACTCAAGAGTCTCATGCCGACTTGAATCTGGGGTGAAGGAGCGGGTCTCGCTGCCCCTGCCATCGCCGATTTCCAGCTTCGATCACTTCCAGACGTTCGACGACGTTTGTCTGTTTCGTTTGTTTTTTCCACTTCGCGGCCCCAAGATCTCGGCCCCTTCCATGGGGGGAGTTGCTCTTCGTATCTGTGTCTGATGGCCCCAGGGCCCGAAAGCGGCCTCCGGGGCCGACGTCGCGGGATACCGATAACGCTGGCACGTGAGGGCCCGAAGTGGCTCGAGAAGCACAGCGACCGCCTCACAACCCTCGGCCGTCAAAGCTTGGATTCCGAATCTCGAATGTCGAAGTTCGAACCTCGAGGAGGAGGAAGATCATGAGGAGGAGAATGAGGAGGAGGAGGACGAGGAGGAGGAGGAGTTGGAGGATGAGGAACAGGAGGAGGAGGAGGAGGAGGAGGAGGAGGAGGAGGAGGAGGAAAAGGAGGAGGAGGAGACGGAGACGGAGGGAGAGGAAGGTGACGGGGGAACGAGGAGGAGGAGAAGGAGGAGTAGGAGGAGGAAGAGGAGGAGGAGGGGAGGAGGAGGAGAGGAGGAGGAGGCGGAGGAGTGCGAGGAGGAGGAGGAGGACGAGCAGGAGGAGGAGGAAGAGGACGAAGAGGAGGAGGAGGAGAAGGAGGAGGAGGCGGAGGTGGAGGAGGCGGAGGCTTCGGCGGAGGCGGAGGCGGAGGAGGAGGAGGGAGGAGGAGGGCGAGGATATGGACGCGGAGGAGGATGCGGAGGAGGAGGAGGAGGAGGAGAAGGAGGCGGAGGAGTATGAGGAGGATGACGAGGAGGATGGGGGAGGGGGAGGAGGTGGAGAAGGATAAGTGAGAGGAGGTACAGGAGGAGGAGGAGGAGGGATGACGATGCTGCTGATTCTGTTGATGGTGGTGGTGGTGATGATGATGATGACGGTGATGATGAGGATGCTAATGCTTATGTTGATGCTGATGTTGCTTGATGATGCTGATGATGGTATTGATGATGATGATGCGGATGCTGCTGATGATGATGCTGCTGATCGTGGTCATGGTTATGCTGATGGTGCTGATGATGATGCTGCTGGTAATGATGCTTATGCTGACATTGATGATGCTGATTATGCTGATGCTACTACTGCAGATGATGCTGATGATAACGATGATTGTGTTGGTGATTATGCTGATGCTGATGCTGATCATGATCATGACGCTGATGGTGCTCGTGATGGTGATGCCGTAATGATGATGATGTTGATGCTGTTGCTGATGATGATGATGATGATGATGATGCTGCTGCTGCTGATGATGATGATGATGATGATGATGATGCTGGTGCGATTGACGATCCTGATGGTGAGGTTGTCGATGTTTACTTTACGAGGAGCGTGGTGATGCTTCGGACGCGTATTTCAATAATGAAGACGGCGGTGATGACGAAGTCGATGACGGTTCCGCCGATGATGATGTTAATGCTGATGCTGATGCTGATGCAGATGATGCTGATGCTGATTGCGTTGGCGATGGTGATGCTGATGATGCTGACGGTGATGTTGTTGATGATGGTGATGATGGTGATGCTGATCCTGATGTTGATGATGTTGCTGATGATGCTGCGGCTGATGATAATGATGCTGATACTGATGCTGATGATGGTGATGCTGCTGCTGATGCTGATGATGCTGATGCTGATGCTGATGCTGATGATGCTGATGATGACGATGACGACGATGCTGATGACGATGATGCTGCTGCTGATGCTGATGATGCTGATCATGATGCTGATGATGTTGACGACGATGATGCTGCTGATTATGAGTTTGATGATGACGCTGATGCTAATACTGATGTTGCTGCTGCAGCTGCTGATGCTGCTGATGATGATGATGATGCTGCTGCTGCTGATGATGATGATGCTGCTGATGATGATGATGATGATGATGATGATGATGACTATGATGATATAGATGATCCGTAAGGGCTTCACCCCCTGCCGCCGACCCCCTCTCTATCATAATGGGATCTATCAGAGTCGTGTCGGTGCGCCTCGGCGCTGCCTTGGCGCCTGTGGGAACATCGTGCGGGACGGATAGTAATCACCAGTGCATATTGAGACGTTAGCGTTATCAAAGACGCCTACGGCGAATCACCGCCGCCCCCTGCCCCTTTGGAAGCGCCTCTGTGGCCGACAGCTGGGCCAGCGCTTGGCCAAGCTATCGGGCCAGTTGTTCCCCGAGTCGGTTTGGAAAGACTCTGGGGAACACGTGGGGGAGCAAGAACAGGAGGAGGAGGAGGACGAGGAAACACGAGGAGGAGGAGGAGGAGGAGGAGGAGGAGGAGGAGGCGCCTCTTGGGGCACTCTTGGGGCCTCCTGGGAGCTTCCTGGGGGCCTCTTGGAGGGTTTTTGGGGGCCTTTGGGGGCTTCTTGGGGGCCTCTTTGGCCGTCTTAGGGGGTTCCTGGCTTGTCTGACGCCGTCGGAAGCCGTCTTGGGGGCCTGTCTGGGTCGTCTTGGGGCCTTCTTGGGGCATATCAGGGGTTCTTAGAGGCCATCTTGGGCGTCTTGGAGGCCTCTTGGGCCGTTTTGGGGCCCTCTTGGCTCCGTCTTGGGGGCCTTTTGGGCCATCATGTGGCCAGCTTGGAGGCGTCGTGCGCGATCTTGGGGGAGAAGAAGCAAATGCCAACATCTTTCAACAACCTCAGGAGCATCAATGATTTTGGCCTCTTGTGCCCTCCTGGAAGACCTCCAGGACGCCTTTTGGGCCGTCTTGGAGGCCTCTCTGGGACCTCTTGGGCCGTCTTGGACCATCTTGAGGCCATCTTGAGGCCATCTAGGGCCGTCTTAGAGGCATCTTGGGGCCATCTTAGCCGTCTTGGAGGCTATCTTGGGCGTCTTGGAGGCGTCTTGGGCCCTCTTGGGGCCGTCTTGGGGGCCTCTTGGGCTGTCATGGGGCCATCTTGGAGGCGTCGTGGGCGATCTTGGGGGCCTCTTGGGTCGTCTTGAGCCGCTGGAATGCCGAAAAGAAGCAGCTGCTAAAACCCTTCAACCACGTTAGGAAAATCAAGGATTTTGGCCTCTTCGGGCCCTCCTGGAGGACCTCTTGGAGGCCTCTTGGGCTGTCTTGGAGACGTCTTAGGGGGCTCTTCGGCCGTCTTGGGCCATGTTGAGGCTAT